TGTGTGTGTGTGTGTGTGTGTGTGTGTGTGTGTGTGTGTGTGTGTGTGTATGTTTGAGAGACAGGGTTTTGTTTGCTCTTGTCACCCAGGCTGGGGTACAGTGACCCAATCATAGCTCACTGTACCCTCAAACTCCTGGGCTCAACTGATCCTCCTGCCTCAGCCTCCCCAGTAGCTAGGTGTAGTGCACACCACCACACCCGGCTAATTTTTAAAATTTTTTGTAGAGACAAGGTCTTTTATGTTGCTCAGGCTTATCTCAAACTCTTGGGCTCAAGTGATCCTCCTGCCTCAGCCTCCCAAAGTGCTGGGATTATAGGTGTGAGCCTCCACACCTGACCACTGTGGCATTTTTGTTGCTGTTTGTCTTTGTTTGTTGCTGTTCTGCTGTTGTTTGTCCTTGTTTTTTCTCAAAACACTTCACTTATACAAAGACACACACACGTATATCAACACATACAAGCATGAATATCCTTCTGAACATACACTCACAGATATATACACATGCGCATATACGCCAGACTGTTGGCCCCGTGAGGACAAAGAATGTATCTTTTGCTCACCCTTATATCCCTGTTAGCTATCATAATATTTGGCTCACAACAGGTACTAATAAATATTTACTGAAATAATATATTCTATACATGTATACATATATGTATACATAGACATACATTTCTGTACAACATACATATCCACAAAAAGTCACATGGATGCATTCCTGTACACACACACACACACACACACACACTCACTTTCAGGAGCCAGAAGTGGGGCCAGCTCATTCCAGGCCCTGGGATGGGTTGATGAGCTCCCTGGGATGGGTTGGTGAGCTTCTTGGGGTGGGTTGCTCCCTGGACACTTGCATTTTTAGGGTAGTTCCCACTTCTCAAACTTCCACAGTCCCCTGGGCCCAGCCATGGCTGATGGAGGGACTGGGAGACACTGCCCTCTGCACTGGGGTCTTAGCCTGTGGATGGGGATGTGGGAGCCCCCAGGCTTGAAGAATCTGCCCCTTCCTGTGGATCTTGGCAAAGGTGGGGATGGGGGTAAGGTGTTTCACAGACACTGCTTGCTCAGGGGGGCTTGAGTGCTCCTGAAGATCTGAGTGCTCTCTTTCCGTCCTCCCTGTCTTTCTCCATCCCTTTCTCACTCTACTCTCTTCCTCTTCCATTTTTTATTTTTTGTCATCCTCTGTTCTCCCTTTCACTGCTTGTCTTTCCTCTCGCTCTCCTGTCCAATGCTCTCATCTCCCTCCTCCCATCCTTTCTCTCTGGCTTATGTCTCCCCATTACTGGCTATCCTCCTCATCTCCTTCTTTCCATCTTCTCTGACCCACCTCCCTCTGCATCTCTCTCCCAACCCCCTCCTCTCCTCTGCACCTCTCTCCCAACCCCCAGGTCCTCTCAGGCCTAGCTCAGATGATGCGGGAGTGCTGGTACCCAAACCCCTCTGCCCGACTCACCGCGCTGCGGATCAAGAAGACACTACAGAAAATTAGCAACAGTCCAGAGAAGCCCAAAGTGATTCAGTAGCCCAGGAGCACCTGACTCCTCTCTGCCTGCAGGGGGGTGGGGGGTGGGGGTAGTGGATGGTGCCCTATCTGGGTAGAGGTAGTGTGAGTGTGGTGTGTGCTGGGGACGGGCAGCTGTGCCCGCCTGCTCGGCCCCCAGCCCACCCAGCCCAAAATACAGCTGGGCTGAAATCTGATCCCCTGCCGTCTAGCCTGCTCAAAGCGGCAGGCTCCCTGACGCCTGGCTCTCTCCCCACCCGCTACAGCCAGCAGGGTGCACCCCCTACCACTCCCAGGACAGGATGCAAAAAAGGCTCCAGAGTCCGAGTGCCAAGCCAGGGAATCCCAGTCCCAGACTCAGAGCCTGGGCCTGCACTTTGCCCCCTGCCCTTGATCAACCCCACTGCTCCACCAGAGCTGCCAGGGTGGCACAGGGCCCTGTCCAGCCCTCGGCACACACTTCCCTGCCAGGCCTCAGCCTCTGGCACAAGCTCCAGAGAGCCAGGGCCCATCAGTTTCTCTCCGTGGGTTTGTATCTCAGTTCCATGATGCCTTGGGCTTTCTGTCTCCTCAACAAGAGCGCAGCTTGCTGAATGTCAGCTGCCTGGGAGAGCTGGGGCCTGAGTTACTAGGGCATTAAAACCTAAGAGGTCCTACTGAGGATGTGGCAGGATCACAGGCCAGTGGAGAAGGGGCAGGTCAGATGGGTAAGGCCCAGGACTTTCAGATTAACTGAGAGGATGTCGAGGCCAAGCGTGGCAGGGAGAAGGTCAGTGGGCGTCAGGAGACCCAGGTCTGACCGCAGGTATTTGTTCCATGTGACAAAAGCAGGCCTGTATCAGGACCTTTTCTTTTCTTTTTTCTTTTTCTTTTTCTTTTTTTTTTTTGACACAGAGTTTCGCTCTTGTTGCCCAGGCTAGAGTGCAGTGGCATGATCCCAGCTCACTGCAACCTCTACCTCCCAGGTTCAAATGATTCTCCTGCCTCAGACTCCCAAGTAGCAGGGATTACAGGCACGTGCCACCACGCCTGGCTAATTTTGTATATTTAGTAGAGATGGGATTTCACCATGTTGGCCAGGCTGGTCGTGAACTCCTGACCTCAGGTGTTCCGCCTACCTCAGCCTCCCAAAGTGCTGGGATTACAGGTGTGCGCCATCGTGCCCGGCCAGGACCTTTGTTTCTTATCTACATATTGGAAGATTTGGTCCTAATGTCCTTTGAGGCTTCCTTAGCTCTAGTTCTCTGACGTTTCAGCCTATATCAGAGCTAACTTCCTCAGTCTCATCTTACTACTTATGCTCCAGCCCCTGCCAATTTGCCTCAAGATGGGGGTTTGAAAATAACTTTACCTAGGCCGGGCGCGGTGGCTCAAGCCTGTAATCCCAGCACTTTGGGAGGCCGAGACGGGTGGATCACGAGGTCAGGAGATCGAGACCATCCTGGCTCACACGGTGAAACCCCGTCTCTACTAAAAAATACAAAAAAAAAAAAAAAAAAAAAAAAAAAAGAAAATAACTTTACCTGACTCAAGGAGTGTCTGGAGCACCTCCTAGTCTAAGTCTTCAAGCTCCAATTCTTACCTAAAACCATGCCAGTGGCCACCCTTGGGCTCAGACAGCTCTGGGCCTTTTGACCACAAGCCAGCCCCTCGGTCCTCTCTGTGGCAGAGTCTACTGTGCCCTAGGACTGCAGGGCGCTTTCCTCTAAGTCTTCCAAGGTCAAAAGAAATTTGGCTCCATCCAAGAAGCCTCCAGCTCCCCTACTGGCCTCTGGCTCAGGCCCACACCCCTGGCCAGGCCCAGAGAGTGTGTCTCAGGTGAATTCAATAGCTCTAGAGAATCACACAGAGAGTCTGGCATTTGGAAATGTCAAGGATGTATGTATGCTCACGTATGGAGCAGGTTGCCGTGGCCCCTGGATGCAGGGAAGTGGGTTGGAGGGGAGCTTGAGGAATATAAGGAGCAAGGGTGGGGACTCAGGCTATGGACATGGACAGCCCTAAGATTGGGAAGATCTGGCCTAGTAGTCTTCAAACCAGGGATAGGGAAGTGAAGAAAGCTCTCCCTGCTCCTGCTGTAATGACCCAGAGTAGCCTCCCCAGTCTGGCATCTTATGTGTGTCTTCCACCATCCTCATGGTGGCACTTTTCTAGGCCTGTCTCCCAGCATTGTGCAAGGCTCAGAGGAGAACCAGGAAGTGAAACTGGGTGAAAACAGAAAGCTAAATGGATGGGCTAGGTTCCCAGATCATTAGGGCAGAGTTTGCATGTCCTCTGGTCACTGGAATCCACCCAGCCCACGAATCATCTCCCTCTTGAAGGATTTTATTTCTACTGGGTTTTGGGACAAAATCCTGCCGAGACCCCACATCCAGAACCTGAAAGCAGTAGCTCCCCAAAGTCTGGAAAATCCCTAAGAGAAGGCCTGGGGCAGGAAGTGGAGTGACAGGAGACAGGTAGAGAGAAGGGGCCCAACGGCCAGGGAGCGAAGGAGGTGGCCTTGCTGAGAGCAGTCTGCACATGCTTCTGTCTGAGTGCAGGAAGGTGTGGCAGGGTCGAAATTACACTCCTCCTACCTGGAGACACTGTTTGTGGGAGCACTGGGCTCGTGCCTGGCACACAATAGGTCTGCAATAAACCATGGTTAAATCCTGAGCTCCAGAGTCTTCCCAGGCCGACGCCTCTGCAGTGGCCCGTCCCAGAGGTCCAGATAGAACCAGACGGATCGGGGGAGGAGAGGGGCCCAGGATACACGCCCAGCTTTGCCCTTACACAGGTCACAGTTTCCTCATTTCCCTGCTCAGACCCCCGCGGGGGCCCAAATCTCAGTTCCTACCCCAGATTGGGAGCAGCCTGGTCGCCGCACCTGCCACGTCGCCCTCTGCTGGCGGAGGGCTGCCCAGCGGCCGCCTCCGGTCCCCACACAGGGACCGCGGGCCTTTCCCGGCCGGCCGGGTGGGACAGCCTTCCCCACCCCCGGGCGCCAGCATCCGTGTGCTCGCTGACCTGCTGTTGTGCAGGGACTGTCCCCCGAACACCACACCCAGCAAAGAGCTTTCTGCTTCCAAACCGGCAACTTGGACGCCCCCTCAATTCCTTGTTCTCACTTCCCTTCTCACACGGGGTCCCCATCTTGCCAGGAGTCAGTCCCCATTCCCAGCATGGGAAGATCCCCTTCCCTGGGGACCTACCTTGTCCTGGGATCAGAAAGCACTTCACACACACATCCCATTCTCACCCCCGGAAATTCGGGGCGGGGACATGCCGTGGCGGAAGCAGGTACTAAAAGAAGCTGAGAGGGTCCTGGCCTGTGGGACTGCCCAGCCTAGAAAATCTGTGCCTTTGTGCTGGATGCCCTCTTCGGGAAACGTGGGGAGGGTACACCTGACACCACAGATGACTTTGTGGCCCCTTGCACCCCCAAGGCAGCCTCATGCCTGGAACATCCTATCCGGGGTTCATGGATCCCCACACAACATAGTGTCTTCCCAGAGGATTGGGGCACCCGGCCTCAGACCAGCTTTGAGGAAATAGGAGCGTTGCTAGCATCCGGCAAAGGCAGCCTTTCCCCTCCCCCTGTGCCTACCAGACTCTGTCCTTGTGTCCTCCCCATGGTGTCCAGACTATGGTTGGAGAGTTGGGAGAAGGGCAGTGGGGAAATTGCAGAGAAAGGGGTACGTGAACGCTGAGCAGGATCCGTGGCAATACTGGCTCACTGCTCTCCAGTTCTTGCGAAGAGCCCTTGGGAAGTCACCCTGTCCGAGCCCCTGCCTACAAGTAGACTTCAGGGAACCTGCCTGCCTTTGGAGGAAAAAAACCCACTGCTCACTTTGCTTCTCTGCAGCTTTGCCCTGACTTCCTCGGGGACCCCAGGCCCCAGTTTCCCTATCTAGACAAAGAGGGAGAGGACCATCTGTGTGGTATCACCCTAAGGGGTGATAGGTGCCATAGCATGCCACAGTGGGGCTGAGGGTAGCTCCTGGAGCAGGAGCCTTGATGTGGAGGGCCACCCATTCCCCTGCCAAGGCCTCACCAACAGTTCTCCTCTCCACCCTCCAAGGCACCATCCTCCCTCAGTCCTGCCTTGCACCAACCTCCAAGGAGGGTGCTGTTTCCTCCATATCCTCACCAACATTATGATCAACAGCCCAAGAGATGGCAAAGCCCTCACACCTAGAAGTCCCTGTCCTGGGGGTGGAGTGGGGTGCACGTCCTGTGTCCAGTCTCCCAGGGCTGGGACTGATGCTAGCTGTGCAATCGTCACTCTGGGTGGGCGACTCTTGGAATGAGCTGCTTCCACCAGGGCCACATTCAGTTTGCTCGAAATAGAGACAGAGGGCTTCTTGACTTTGCATATGATTTGCATAATGTCATAGACACACAGTCTATTTTCAGGCAGTTTTCAGGTTAAAGTGTTGTCACTGCTGCCCTGCAGGGTGTCATGTCTGGATGAGTCTCTTCTCTGTTCTTTCTCACCCACCCACTCTTACTGACCTACATCCCCAGCTGCAGGAGCGAATGGTGAGGCAGGGGGAGAGTGGGGTTGTCCAGGGAGACACATGGGCAGGGAAATAAAGGGAATTTCCTTATTACCAGCATCACCAGAAACAGAATCTGGTTGCTCAAGGGCAACTAATAGGCAGAGGGTAAGGAACAGGAAGCCAGGTAACCCATCTTCTGTTCTGCAAAAACCCTTCCCACCTCTCCTACCAGGAGAACAGCCAGTTCCTGTTTCTCTATTCAGTCTTCTGCTGGTTTGAAGAAAGATGTCTAGATAGATAAACCTGTTTCTTTCAGCCACCCATAAAGCCTTGCTTGGCCCAGACATCCCTCATGGGCATTTATTTTCAGTGCTAAGATTAGATCTTCACCTCTTGGGAAATCTGACCTGCAGTCTGTTCCTTTCCTGGGAGCCTTATCTGAAAGATAAGGATCCTAGTCTCATGATCAATATTTTTGGAGCACCTGGCACACAGTAGGAGGTCAGTCAGTGCTGCAGTCCCCCCCTCTTCTTCATCTAGAGGTCTGTACCAAGTACCTCATTGTCCCAGACCTGGATGCTCGACACACACACCAGCCTCTGAAGGCTCAGATGCAGAAACAGACTTACAAGGGCCAGTTGAGGTGACTGTCACTAAGTTATCTGCGACCTTGGCCAGTTGCTTGGCCTCTTCATCTGGAAAGGAGGGGGACTGGTGATTGGTGGAGACGAGGGGCAAAGACAATTCCCATATTATAGCTTGAGCTGTTTGGCGACCTTCCTTGATCACAGAGGGTCAGGGCTGGAGCCCCACCCAGGGCTCCCTCCTGTAGACCCTCTGGCTTTGGGGCATGTCTGGTGTGCTGTCTTCCTGTGTATATCAAAGGATCCACCAGATGCCAAGGCAAGGAGCCTGAGAACCTTATTGGGTCCTGGGAAAGGAGAGACCACTCAGTCTGGCTGCCTAGCCACCATGCACTACCCAGAATTCCCTGTCCTATGTCCAGCCCCCAGGACCTGCCTCATCCTCTCAGGCAGGCGTTTCCTGTTGATAAGAAGCTTAGTCACAAACACTGATAAAGACATGAAAAAAGGAAATCGACAGGCTTGGGTATAATGGGCATTTTGTCTGCCTTTTCTACCCCTCTTCCTTCTCCCAGCACTGCCCACTCCACACCCCCACCTCATACTGCTTCCCAGAACTGAAGAGAAAGCATTCCCCTACCTCCACGTGGGCCCTATTTTATAGTCTCCAGGAATTTGGCCTGAAGGCTCACACAGGTCTCAGAAGGGGGGGCCCAGCTTGGCCTGGGTTGGGATAGGAGCCCTG